CAAAATGAACAGCTTCCACCTTTTAAAAAGCTTTCAGAACAATCAAACTAATAATCAAAGTCCTTCATTACTGAAACAAAAAGCACAGCTTTCCAATCAAATTAGACCCAACACTTCCTCATATGTCATATCCTCTTATCGAGCAAGAATTAAATGGATTCCTTGCAGCTTTTTTTTTTTTTTTTAAAACAGCACAGAGCACAAGTTTGTAGTCAAAGCCTTCAAAACGTTTGGGCTGTGGAAGTCTACACATCATAATACTCGTGGAGTTGTGCTTGAAAGCCAGTTTTAATACAGTTTCACATTAAAGATCTCTGTAGTCGCTGAGGGAGCTGACTCAGCCGGGGCTTCGTTTTGGACCAGTAGTTAAAATTTTTAGATCAGCAGGTATAAACCTCAGGAAAATAAAAACATTTTATTATTTTAAACAAATTTTTAACAACATGATCGCACACTGCCTTCAGAGGTTGCACGTCTGGATCTTTTCCAGTTTCTTTCTTCCAGCCTTGCAGCCTGTGGCTGCTAACACAGTTTTAGCCTTTAAAAAAAGTGCCGTCCTCGCAGCTCGGACACAACAAGGAATCTGTACCAGTGATTAGAAAGAAAATGTGCATTTAGTGAATGATAAAACCACCAGTGTGGGAACAGAAATTCCACCCAACTCTTTTAAATTTTTCCCTTAAGAAATGCAAAACAACTGGCACCTCCTATATTTTTATGACCGTTACTGAACATAGCAATCATTTCACCAAATACATTTTTGGACTCTAGCTCTTCAGATGTGCTTTCCACCACACCTTCACACTCTTATTAACCACTCCCAGGTCTGAAACAAGCTTTTAGCCAACGTCAATACTGATTTCTTAAAAGAATGATGTAGAAAGTAGCGTCAAGGGGAAACGTGTGCACGTGTTTGTTTCATTAAATGTACAATAACGTACACAAATCTAAGCAAGGTCACACAAGAGACCAGTAGTAAGTAATGACAGAGGTATATCAGTGATTACAGTAGGATGTCACCTTTACAAAAAAAAAAAAGAGACACCTCTCAGTTTTCTCTGGTCGGTGCAGAGCTGATGGGGAACTGCTTCGCTCTCCTGCTTCATTCACAAATCCTCGGTTTGCATTTAAGGACAAAAACAAAAGCTGAGCCAGTTCACCACAAACCTGAGCTGTGATCAGTCTGCAAGTCGGAGATTTTAACACACAGGAAACTAATCAAACACATTTAACGTCACCGAGGTGAAAGATGGTAACTTTGATGGGGATCCATCGTCTATTCAAATAAAAACAGCTGAATCAGTCGTGACCGTTTGTGCTCACAGCTTTTCTAAAAACTCAAATCCAGCAGAATGACTAGAGCTCAAAATCTGTTGAAATCGCTCCTCAGTTGTGTCGTTAATGAACACTCCAGCATCTTTCCCTGCAGCACACCACGAGGGAACATGAACCAAATTATTAAGACACCGTCTTATCACATTACAAGTCGGCAGGCACACACACGACCACGCTCACCTTTATACACACACACACACACACACACACACACACACACACCA